AGTTGGAAAAAGCCCCAAGAAGAAAAAAATCTCAGCGCGGAATGTACATTTGCAAAATAGCATTCGAACTGAATTCGAAATAATTCTAAAATCATAAAAGAATTGATTTAATTTAGTGTTCAGTTTATTTATATGGGCATTTTTTTTAGGTTTCAGCAAATGGAGAGACCCAAAAACCCCACCCCCATTTTCCTGCCTGCTTGCCTGCGTGTAATTATCTATTTTCCTGTCTTAGGAGGTAGCAACACTGAATGTAGTAGTACAAACTTTTCAATTTTTTTGAAACCAAGACCTTACAATACGGTTTTGTCGACGAAAATTTACCGATTTCTGCGGGCACTTTCCACTACTCTCTCTTTACTACGTAAGAAACTAGTAAGGTGTGAGTGTGGAAATAAAGTATTATAAGTCGTTTCAGTTACTAAAGAATAAGTGAAAAATCAGATAAGAAATAATATATTGTACCCGTTACAAAAACGAGACATGCTAAGTGTCAGACAAAAGCATGAGTGGTTCATTACCGCTCCTTTGCTGATTGAACTGGCGAATGATCTTTGCTCCGAACTGCGGCATGAAGGGAAGTTGAGAGCCCGCTTTCAAAATATCGTCGATTTCAGGGCAGCAACAACTGGTGTGGTGAATTAATTAAATCACACACAGAGAAGACAGACACTCAGAGACAGGAATTCGGGCAGCTAAAGAGAAGATGGAGTGAAGCCGGAATAGGCATTCCGGTTTCTCTATTTCTCGTTAAAGGAAGAAGAAAATCGAAGGAACAAGGACTATGCTGCAATTACAAAGTGAAAACTAGTCTTCCGATAAGATCTATGAGCTAAATATTTACGCTGTTTTTGCTAATTCCTAAAAAAAATCGGAAAATTGGCTCTTGCCGAGGTCTTTTAAACTTTCGAACTAACACAATAGGAGTGTTACACAAAAAATACACAAAATTCGCAAACGCAAAAAACGCAATTCACAAAATTCTGTATTGCGCGAACAATTCGAATTTTCCTTAGTAATTTGATAATGTCGTCATTTTGCAGAGCGAACTCCAAAGAACAGAATAAATTTCCTAGGTTGGTTGGCATTCGACAAGGGTGAAACTACCGAATGAACGATTATCTTTAAACAATGAACTTCTCTTGCTTTTATAAGCTATGTGACACATGTATTCCTTGTGCATAAGATTTTAAATAGTAATCTTCTAGACTGAGTTTCTTCAACTAATCTCTTTTTGCCCTACTCTGAGAATACTATTCGAGGATCTGTTAATCCAAGTCACACCAGAGAAGGTTACCAAGAAGTCTCTTATAATTCAAGAGGATTCAATGAAGGGCAGTAAAGTCTTCTCGGGAGACTTCTTCTCCAAGAAATAACAGGAAATTAAAAAAATTACTGTCACCAAACACATCATTCACATGTTTTTCATTTGTGTGTGTTTGTTTTGTTCTTGTGTGTGAGACCCATAATATTTACAATGGTAGAAGTAAGAAGAGTCATGAAAGCGTTAAGATATAAGAGTAATTATTTTCTAATAATTTGTAGCACAGATAAAAGTAAAATATAGCGTTGGCCTAAACACGGAGGCCTTCCTTTCCTTGTTCTGCGCTCACCCCTTACTTGCACGCACTCTCACACGTCGGAGGCTTGGTGCTTGCCCTGGCTGGGGCGGGATCTCACAATCAAGCGTGGGAAGTTCACCGCCACCTCGCGCTATAACACGTACTACATTTTCGGGACAAATGACTTTAACCGTTGACGCGTCCGAAAACACTAATCAATCAATCAACTTATGTTGCAGAGATGGGGAAAGTTGTCCAAAATGGGAACGCTAACATATTTTAACTGAGGAAGCCTGCGAGATGACAGGCGAAACGTCGGCCTCTCAGCTAACGACGTGGCGTCACCCGGACAGCTAAGAAGTCGTGAACTCAGGCCTCGGAAGCTTACGTGAACATATTTTATTATATAACAAACTAAATTATGGGTAAAACATTTTGAAAAATGTTTCGATGTTAAGAAATACTTAGACTATCAGAAGTAATGGTTTTTGTGTTTACAAAAATATTGACTTCGATGGAAAAGTACCTTTCCTGAAAATGTGCAATGTCCACGCTTCGGGCAACCGGTTGGCTATAATAGGGTACTCATTAAAATGATAAAATATTGAATACATTTATTACCAAACATTTAGAAAGTCATTAATTTAATTAAGTAAACTCTAGCAATTTCGAAACAAACGAATAAACATCTTGTCATTTTGTAATTTTTTAATTAACATCTTAGTTTGTACAGGATCAAAATATGGCCGCATTCATGCAAAAAATCTTAAATAAACGTGTCATCCCTTTTTCAGCATGGAGAAAGATGAATTGCACCGGCCTCCACTAAAACTAGGGGAATAAATGAGATTCTTTTCGTTCCATTTCACTGGAGCAAGATTCACCCATTACCGCAATTTTGCTTCTCTATTATTGCCCTGAGCCAAGACTTCTCAAACTATTTTTCATACAAGAAATTGTATCCCTTGTGATAAGAACCAGTTTTCTTCCTTTCTAGAATGTAATAAGAAATATTAATTTATTCACAAGTATAGCCTACTTATCTATTATTTTTCATTTATTGTTTCTTCACATCAAATCAAAATGACATTTTTAACTTACAGTAAAAAAGAATCTTACAGAGTACCTTGTTTGGCATTCAAACTATTTAGAAATGCAGCAAGAACAATCTTCTACAATAAATCTGGCAAAAGTTGTACTGAAGCATCAAGGAATGAGAAACAAGTGACAATTACAAAAGACAATTTATTTACAATTTTTAACAAATGTACCAATTACCAACAATATTAACAAAATCTCTACAGTGATCTTCCCCTCCAAGTTTGAGACACTGTTTACCACATTCAACATCTTTTAGTTAAAATTACCCAATTAAATATTTTATTAGTAAGCTTTTGGTCAAGGTTTTGTTTTTATATCTGGGTGTATTGTTAGGCAATGGCAAAACCTATGAATGCAAACGTTGTACGATAGTATATTCTTTCAAAAATCTTCTTGCGCCAAATTATTATTTTCAAAGAAACTTTTTCTGTGACAATGGTCCCAAGTCTATCTTTCCTCTCTAATATTCAGAGCTAAGATATATGAACTTGACAAAAAAAAAAAAAAAATTCCTCTACTATACCTTCTTATACTATCGTATCTCTACTATATACTTCTGTACATCCACTGAAATGATGTCTCAAACATTTTATAATAATGACACTGTTAAATGTTTCAGTGCCTTACATCAAGCACAACATTACTTGGATGATCAAAACATGCAGGTACAATGAATATCAGAATGCCAGAATAAAAATGCCATGTGTGTTTCATAAATTCTTAACACAGGCATTGTGAAAAATGCTTTTATATGAGTAACATATGAGTAAGTAAATGTAGAAACAAACAACGCAACCACTTTAGTAAAATAATATTAATAATACAAATAAATAAAATTGATGATCACTAAACAAGTTTCAATAAGAGTTCAATTAAAAGCATAAATTAAGAATTACCAGCTTTTTAACACCATATTTCCTTTTGGTTTTTCTAAGGTAACAGCACTGACATCACCTAAAGCTGACATGCGAGGATAGTCATTTATGATATACGTATTCTAGTAGTTAGGTTGATTCATTAAAACAGTGACAGTAATGTTCAATTCTTTAGCTTGAGCAGACAAGTCTAATTAATTACAATCAAGTGATGTCAATTACAATCAAGCTTTTGTTTGATGGACTTGTGCTTTGGCATATATACTTAAGCACGAAATCATTGAAAATCCAAACGGATTTCTTAAGTAATTTGTTTTCATTCTTTAGTTTATGATATGAAATGATTTAGCTTTGTAGTATTGGGGTATTCAGAAGGAAAGAATCAGGAAGTGTTAGTTGCGTTTATAACCTTACCTTAACTAAGATCTTGAATATTAGGGGGGTTGTTAGATTTATGTTGTTGAAAATTCAATAGCACCAAAGGATGACATTGGTGTCAACGTTAGGTTTTGATTATAATTTTTTACTATATTATTTTAATGAGCAAAAATATCATCAATAAGGATTTTAAGTTGAATAGTCTAATAGGTTCTGAACCTAATATTGACATGGTGTGTCAATCTTAGGTTCCCAGTATGTCAGCTTTAGGAAACATTTAAATTAATGTGCCCTTTCTGCGTTGATATAACACCTAAAAATTTATACAATACACAAAGATCTTGCTGATGAAAACATAGATGGAGAAGTTACAATGCAGCAAGTATGAAGGGCAAAGGAATTTGTTGTATTGAGGGTAATACCGATGACCAAGAATTAGGGACAAATCTACATTGTCAAAATCATTGGAGCGACTGCCTTTTCACCCGAGGATAGAAAAATGCTTGTCAACTGGGTATTAGTACTATTGCAGAAAGCTGGCTTTCTTGTTTTGAAAGCTACTTTTTTATATTCAGTGAGAAACTTAGTAATGAAAAAAGTTACCCATGACACAGTTATTTCCCAACAAAAAATGGTATCGTGGATTTTTAAGTAAAGATGATATCCAGGTATGCCAAAATTTTACAACTGCGAGATATCAGTTAATAGGTAGAAAAACAGAAAAATCATTTGAAGAAGTAAGAAATTAATTTGAAGAGAAGTATCTTCTGTCAACCTTCCAAGTTTCAAGAAGAGTATTCAGCATTGATGAAACCATTTTTTTCTTACATACTAAAGGAGGAAATGTTTCAACAGAAAAATGTTTTAAAGTCGTTTACAAGGGAGCAGGACATTATGAGAAAGAAAATATGACTTTCTTAATTATTGGAGATGCAGCTGGAGAATTAGTCCCACCAGTGGTAGTTTATCGATACTATCATGTACCAGCTGGAATAATCAGTGGCATTTCTGATGATTAAGCTTATGGGCATGAATCAAGAACTTTTTATGTGTATGAATCACAAGTTTTTTAATGAAAATAAAACATATATTTTATTTTTGGCTACTTCAAAGCAAAATTAAGATGCCAGTAGTTGTATTATTTAGATGGGCATACTTCTCATTACTATATACGACTCACAGTTTTGTTCAGAAAAGGGGATTGAGCTTGTAAGTTATATTCCCATTCTCCTTAATTTAACCAATGGATGTATCTGTCTTCCAAGAACTTAAAGATACCGAGAGACTGAGGGTACAAGAGTGGAAGATGGAAATGGAGGTAAGAAAAAAGAGTGCAAAAAATCAGCTATAACACTTGGTGTAATAAATAAGTACTGAAGTTGCAATATCTAAAGAATTTGTATGTCTGAACGGATTTCATGTTTTTTTTGTTTTCTTTTTAACATTACATTTAATCATAACTATTAACAAAAATCATTTAATGAATTTAATTCTTGTTTTTTATGACTTTTTAGGTTCTTCACATGTCAACTTTAGGAATCGGTGACAATTGACCTGTCAGGTTAAATTTAATTAGAACATTAGTTTCTCTTTTATAAAAAAATGTGTCTTGAAATGTTAAATTATTTATTATAGAGGAAAATGTTTAAAATTATTAAGAATCCAACTAAATCTGAAAAGAAATATTTTGTAAATATTTTGACTACATCAGCTAGTTGAGAGTAATTTTTCCCTTAACCTGTCAGCATTTGGTGCTGTTACCTTAACTGTGTGTTCTCTTTGATGCTGCCCAAAGACATGGACTTTCAAATGTTTGTAGGTACAGTCTGCAGCAAAATAATCCTGGTTACTACCAGGATTCATTTACTAAAGAAGCTTCAAGATGCTGAGTTAATGACCATGAAGGAGCTTCTTAATCTCATCAACTCAAAGTTGTCTTTGTTGCAAGAAGCTCATTCTTCGGAAACCCTGGTGAGTGATCCAGTGCAAGTTCAAAGGCATAGCAATTTATATTAATTTTTCCTGAAAAACAAACAAACAGAAAAAACAAACCAACATGAACATGTAATAAGTTTATAATGTCTAAACAAAAAAAAAATCGGAAATGCTTCCAACTTAGTGATGAGGCATATAAATATTTCCCTCAGATGTTGGTGCCTGGTGGATTTACATAGCTCACAAAGACGGATAATTTCAGGAAAATAAGTTAAGAGTAATGAAAGTTACTGAAGAAGAGTGGCAGGAATTTCTCAGTTAAATATAACATTGAACGTGAAGTTTAAAGACGTATTAAAAGATAGAAGTGACTTTTTTTAAATTTTGGAGACTTATCCTCAGTGCAAAGTATTCTCCTTAAGTGTCATTCATAAATTATGAAATGCTAATGAGGGGGAGGGGGTTTGAGGCAGCATAAGAGCAGTGTTCTTTTCGATTAGTGTTATGTAAAATTGGTATTTAAAAAGAATTGTTTAAATAATTGTTGAAATACTTCCTTTTTTGAGTCTTTCATTAAAACATTATAAATTATTATTAAATTATTAAAATTATTAATTTGCTTTCAAACATAAATAATTTAAGATAGTTACAATACATAGAAATATTGTTTCATCAATTTTGTATTGAATCTGTAAGATTATGAAGAAAATATTCAAAATTGATCTGTAGTTTTTTGTAGAATGCAATTAAATTTGCGCAGTAGATTTTTGCCCATGTGCTATCCAAAATGGTGGTGAGTACATGGATTTTGATAAGAAATTTTCTCGCCTGTGCACCTTTCTTTCATTCAAAATTTGCCCCCAACCTTATTGTTAGGTGTATTCAACATCGACATCTAATTTAGACTTTAATTATCATAAATTTTAATACACAATACAAATAAAATTAATACAATTATTTTATATTGAGCTATAATTTATTTTCAATTCTTCCATGTATA